GAATGTTTTCTGGTGTTAAACTTGTGTTTATTCTTTAATATATATATATATATATATATATATATATATATATATATATATATATATGTTTTGAAAAGCAAAAAAAATTAAATTATTCTCTTGTCATTGATAAACTTCAAATAAATAACAATATCAGAAGGGAGTGTTGTAGAGATTTTAGTCATTTTATAATTAAATTCATGAGTCAATTGAAGCTAGAGCATCATGGAAAACCTAGAAGCACTGAACAGCTCAGTGGTTTAGAGGTTAAGCATTTACGAGCAAGACTAATAGGTCCAGGGTTTGAAACTCGTTGGGCGAGATCGTGAATGCGCACTTCTGAGGAGTCCCATATTACGACGAAACGGTTGTCCAGTGCTTCCAGGTTTTCCATGGTGGTCTAAGTTCAATTGACTCATGAATTCAATTATAAAATAACATTATATTAAAGAGGAAGAATGTATTTGTAAAATCTCAGTGAATGAATTTGAAGTAAATTCAACGTTTCGCTTGGCAATGTGGATTTACTTCAAATTCAAATACAGTTACAAATACATTCTCCCTTTTTAGTGTCTGATATAAATTCGGCGCTTAAATACTGCGAAACTTACTGACTTACGCCTGTTACTCCCAATGGAGTATAGGCCGCAGACCAGCATTCTCCAACCCACTCTGTCCTGGGCCTTCTTTTCTAGTTCCAGCCAATTAGTGTTAATTTTTCTCATGTATATTTCCATTTCCCGGCGTAATGTGCTCTTTGGTCTTCATCTATTCCTTTGGCCCTGAGGATTCCATGTGAGGGCTTGTCTTGTGACGCAGTTCGGCGCTTTCCTCAATGTGTGTCCTATCCACTTCCGGCGCTTCTTCCTGATTTCTTCCTCCGCTGGGATCTGGTTTGTTCTCTTCCACAGTACGTTGTTGCTAATAGTGTCCGGCCAATGGATCTGAAGTATTTTGCATAGACAACTGTTAATAAACACCTGTATTTTCTGGATGATGGCTTTCGTTGTTCTCCAGGTTTCTGCCCAATACAGTAGAACTGTCTTGACATTTGTATTGAAAATCCTGACCTTGATGTTGGTTGACAGTTGTTTTGAGTTCCAGATGTTCTTCAGTTGCAGATATGCTGCTCTTGCTTTGCCGATCCGCGCCTTCGCATCTGCATCAGATCCACCCTGTTCATCAATGATGCTGCCCAAATATGTAAAGGTTTTTACATCTTCCAAATCTTCTCCGTCAATTGTGATTGGATTGGTGCATGCTGTGTTGTATCGGAAAATCTTGCTTTTCCCTTTGTGTATATTGAGACCTACTGCTGCTGAGGCTGCTGCTACACTGATCGTCTTCTCCTGCATTTGTTGTTGCGGGTGCGGTAGAAGGGTCCGATCATCTGCGAAGTCTAGATCGTCCAACTGCATCCTAGATGTACACTGTATCCCGTGCTTCCCTTCAGATGTTGAGGTCTTCATGATCCAGTTGATCACCAGGAGAAAGAGAAAGGGTGAGAGTAAGCAACCTTGCCTGACACCGGTCTTCACTTCGAACGACTTTGTCAACTGTCCTCCATGCACAATTTTGCAGTGTAATCCATCATATGGATTCTGTATGATATTGACTATCTTCTGAGGCACGCCGTAGTGTCAAAGAAGCTTCCACGCTGTCAAACGCTTTTTCGTAGTCAATGAAGTTGATGTAGAGTGATGAATTCCATTCAATTGATTGTTCCACAATGATCCGTAGAGTTGCGATTTGGTCTGTACATGATCCATCCTTACGGAATCCTGCCTGTTGGTCATGAAGTTGGGCGTCTACAGAGTCCTTCATTCTGTTCAACAATACCCTGTTGAAGACTTTTCCCGGTATTGAGAGAAGAGTGATGCCCCTGTAGTTATCACACTTGCTGAGATCGCCTTTCTTTGGTATTTTGATCAGAAGTCCTTCTTTCCAGTTTGTTGGTACTTGTTCCTCATCCCAAATCTTATTGAAGAGAATATGGAGCGTCCTTTCAGTTGCTGCTACGTCTGCTTTTAGTGCCTCTGCTGGGATGTTGTCTGGTCCTGGTGCTTTTTTACTCTTGATTTGTCTGATGACCATGCTTATCTCTTCAATTGTTGGGCCAACATCGATTGGGAGGTCCGTGGGTGCTGCTTCGATGTTGGGTGGGTCCAGTGGAGCTGGTCGATTCATGAGTTCTTTGAAGTGTTCTATCCACCTGTTTTGCTGCTCTTCAATGTTGGTGATTACCTCGCCTTCCTTGCTTTTCACTGGTCGTTCTGGTTTGCGGCGATTTCCAGAGAGTTTCTTTGTCGTGTCATCCAATTGTCTCATGTTTACTTCTTTTGCAGCCTTTTCTGCCGTCATTGCAAAATCTTCCACATATTTACGTTTGTCGTTTCTGACACTCCTCTTCACTTGCTTGGTTAGTTCTGCGTATTCAGCTTGTGCCTTGACTTTCTCTGCTCTTGTTCGGCTGGTATTGATTGCTGCCTTCTTGTTCCTCCTTTTTTGAATCTTATCCAGTGTATCAACAGTGATCCATTCCTTGTGATGGTGTTTCTTGTGGCCCAGAACCTCATGGCATGTTGAAGTGATTGCTTCTTTGATCCCATTTCAGTTTCTCTCCATTGGGTAGATCATGAAAGGCCTGGAACTTGTTGCTGAGGACTATCTTGAATTTGTTGAGTTTGTCAGTATCCCGAGGAAAAGCCGTATTGACCTTTTTTGATTTTGTCCGCCCCACTGCCCAGTGCTTCTTGAGTTTCAATTTCATCTTGGCGACCAGCAAGTGATGGTCTGATGCTATATCAGCTCCTCTCTTGGTTCTCATGTCCTCTATAGTCCTCCTGAACGTTTTTTTGATGCAGACATGGTCGATTTGGTTTTGCGTGATGTGATCCGGTGAAGTCCATGTGGTTTTGTGAATGCGCTTATGTGGGAATATGGTGCCGCCTATGACCAGTTTATTGAAGGCACATAGATTTGCAAATCTCTCACCATTTTCGTTCCTTTCTCCCAGTCCGTGTCGTCTCATGATGTCTTCATACCTAGTGTTGTCCGTTCCAACCTTGGCATTTAAATCTTCCATCAGAATGGTCAGGTCCTTTGTTGGGCACTTCTCGACGATTGACTTCAGCCTATTGTAGAATTGATCTTTAGCGTCTTCATTGTAGTCGTCGGTAGGCACACAGCATTGGATGATGTTCATTGAAATGCCCTATTTCTTTGTTTTGAAGGAGGCTTTGATGATCCTTGGTCCATGAAATTCCAATCCTATAAGTGCATTTTGTGCTTGTTTGGACAGCATCAATGCAACTCCTTGTGTATGTGGTGCATTTTCTTCCTCATGGCCGGAGTATAACAGGAGCTCTCCTGTAGTTAGTCGTTGTTGTTCAACTTGCGTCCAATGTGTTTCACTGATCCCAGGCACCTCTAGGTTGTATCTTCTCATTTCTGCGGCAATTTGGAAGGCTCTCTCGGTGTCCCACATTGTACGAACATTCCATGTACCTAAATAAATGGTTGCTCTGGTTGTCAGAAGGTGCATTGGCCTCGTAACTACCGAAGGAATTCGGCTTTCATCATGAGGCGTCATAGTTCTTCTAAATAAAGACCTTCTGACTCCCAAGGCAGAGTTTAAAAGGTTTGAGTAATTTTTTCTCGTTATCGTTTTTCAGCGAGTTAGTTTACTACGGTATGGGGACGCTAACCCCATGCCCAACCCTCCTCCTTTATCCGGGCTTGGGACCGGCAGTAGCCCCCGGAGGGACTCCAGGCGGAGTTACTGTGAAACTATCCGATCAAATTTAGAAGAAAGTTCTTATATATTATTTTGTGGTAACAATATATGTTGTCAAAGTGAATGAAATCTCAATAATTTACTTTTTCCATTATTTCTTGTTTTTTATATATATGAGAAACAAATAAGAACTTTCGTCTAAATTTGATCGAATAGTTTCACAGTATTTGAGCTTCGAGATAATGGGAGACATTAAAGAGGAAGAAAGTATTTGTAAAATCTCAGCGAACGAATTTGAAGTAAAACGGACGTTTCGCCTGGTAATCTGGTCCGATAATTTTGGTGTTTGATGATATTTCCTTGAAAGAGATTGGTCCAGATTGCCCGGCGAAACGTTGGATTTAATTCAAATTCATTCGCTGAGATTTTACAAATACATTCTTTCTCTGAAGAGATGTATGTTGGAATAATAATAAAAATTTTTATTGAATGATTTCTTTTTTGTTAATCAACAGTAAATATGAATTGATTATTTTATTATTATTTATTATTAGCTTTATTCAATATTATATATTTGGTACAATATAGAATTCTCAATACAAAGTATTTCAGCGAGTTTCAGTTTCTTATTTGTTGATCGATATTGACGATAAAGATTGAGTGATTACCAGTTACATATTAGCATTTCAGAAGTCGACCTCTGAATAATATTCATTCTTTTCAATGTATATAACCAGCAATCATGATGTCTCCGATTGTACAGTTTTGTAAATTGTATGGCGAAACGTCGTGAACCTTTTACAAACGCACCTTAATAGGTTATGGAATTAATTGGTATAATTATCTGTTAAAACAAACAAGGAAACAGATAACTTGTTGAAATATCTAGATGGCAGGAACAGGTAGCCCAGATATTTAAGCAGGCCACCGGTGCTTAATCCATAGAATATTAGAATTTAAGGTTAATTGTTCCATAAAAATTTCCTGATGTAGAAATCAGTCACTTGAAATGATTAGTAAATCTTATCTATATCATTCATTTTATTCACTTTGTCTAATATATGTTCATTTTTGAAGTGTTAGAGTAGTTATTGGTCCAATTTGATTTTAAGTTAAGATCATACTAAACAGTTACTTACATTATTTTAGGATGACAGCAACATTTTTCGTTCCTATAATCTATTCCATGAATGAGATTTTTATTTTTATTTTTTACAATTTTTGACTACATTAATATTCAATTAATTCTGTTTTATGTATACAGTCATCTGTGAGTCGCAACCAAACGGGATTAAGTGGATTATCTAATGCCACGTCTACTGCAGTTATCCCAACTTCCATAACTGCTGAAGCAGTTACTATAACTGGCATTCCCACTGTAACCGATTCAAGCGAAAGCAGTTCAATAGAATCATATTCTGATTCACAAGTTAACTCTCATTCAAATTTAGCTCAAGTTTATATGAATCAGTCTAACTTTTACAACATAAATTCTCATGATGGAAATAATACATGCTCAACTATTATAAACAATACTAATACTACTTCTACTACAACCACTTCTATGAGTAGTAAAATCCATACAAATGATATTGACAGTGATAGTGCTGTAATTAATGAAGATTCTGATAAATCAGTGAATTTCCATACAAATCGGTTTGATTATTCTCCTCAATCATTATATACGAATTCTTATTATAATCAATATTTTTCACAATATATACGAGATAACATTCCTTTGAATAGTATGTTACCAAATATGAATGACACTCTAAACTATACAGAATCATTAAGCAATCACAATATTAATAGTAATCATACAAATAGGAATTATGAATATTCTAATCCTTGTGGAATTTATTCAAATTTTTTCTTAAATCCAAATAATAATATACATTCTGATGATATAATTAGTAATTGTTCTACATCTTCGACAAAAATGAGTTCAACAAATTCGTTACCTTATCATCATCACCAAAATCAACATCATCATCTCCCTTCTCATCATCAGAATACTCATCAGCAGCAGCATCAGCATCGACAGTATAACCAATTGCGTAATCATTATCACTCATTACTTAATGATGCAATAAGTAAGGATAACTGTAATGATTCCAATTCCGTACATTCTATGCCAAATTGTTCATCATCAACAATAAATTCTACAATTCAACCGCCTAATTTTATTGATCCTTATATCGATGTTTCTGATGATGTACAGTCACGTTCACATGAAACAACTCATCTACAACATGAAACTAATCAATTAGAGCATAGTCCAAACTCAATACCATATTTACAACATGGATTACATTCTCATTATCCAGTACTTTCTAATAGTTCGTCAATCTCAATAGCATCCACATCGCCATCATCATCATTATCTACATCATCATTACAATATCACAATCTTTATCAATTACAACATTTTCCATCAAATCATACACATTCATCTTTATTACATAATTCACAATATAGAGGATATCGTACTAATTGTATACCACCAAGACCAGCATCAAGAATTCGACATACAAAAGCATCTTCATTGAATGGTTCAACCCGTAGTGATAGTTCATTAAATGATGATATACAGGCAGATAGAATTGGGATTAAATCAAATGAATTAGGAGTAGATGAAACTGGTAAGTGTTTATTTATAAGATCAGTTTAAGTAATTCTATAAGTTTATAAATGAAATTAATTGTTGATTCATATCAAAAGGGATTTTGTGAATATTACAATAATTTCAATAATTGAGATCATGAGTCATTTGAAGCTAGACCACCATGAAAAACCTGGAAGCACTGGATAGCTCTTTCGGCCAATTGTTGGACTCATTAGGAGTGCGTATCCACGATCCCACCTCGTGATAATTGAACCCAGGACCAATCGCTCTTGCGCTGACGACAATGGTGGGTGTGTCGCTCACTTTCGTGGATTGGTTGAAGTTAGGCATTAACACCGTTGGATGCCGGCTCAGTGGCCTAGAGGTTAAGCGCTTGCGCTCAAGACTTATAGGTCATGGGTTCGAATATCTCGAGGCGGGACCGTGGACGTGCACTGCTGAGGAGTCAAGCAATAGAATGAAATAGCCGTCCAGTGCTTCCAGGTTTTCTATGGTGGTCTATCTTCAATTGACTCATGATCTCAACCATTGAAATTAATAGTTTTCGTATTATTGATAAAATTAAAATAACAATTTTATTTAAATGAAAAAAATAATTTTTTCTCATAGTGATTAATTAAAATATTTAAAAAAATTTCCTGTCCTCCCTAATCATTTATCAGTTATCAGTGCTGTTTTGAATATCGGTGTGAATTGACATATTAATAAAAATAAAATATTTCTGTTCTAAACGATAAGCATTCAATAAATGGTTATATAATACAAAATGGTTGTATTAATTGATTGGTTACAGACTCTATCGATTTCTAAAGACCTGTAGAGTAATTTATAACCTTTGATTCTGTACCAGTATCAGAAGTAGTAGTAGTAGTATAGGCATTTATAGTGTGATTAACAGTGTAAGTAATACTATTGCAACTTGTAGTAATAATAGCTTCGTTCTGCTGAGGAGTGTTTACTAATATGAAATCTATTACTAGGATCTCTTTCCAATCAGCTTTCAATGATTTAACATTTTTTCAATTCCTTTCAATTCTTTCTTTTAAATTTTTCATATATCTGTAAATAGAAATTTGTACTTTGATGAAATATCCATTCAATAATTTTCTATCAATTCTTAAACTTCATTTTCAGATTAAGGATGAATTCTTCTGCATAAATGATGTCTGAATATCAGTTTAATTTTATTCTGTGTGTAATGAAAGGGTGACAATTATAAAATCAGTGGGTTTTTTTTCAAAATGGTTGGGAACCTTTTTTTTATGAATGAGTAAATTCAAAATAAATATTTATAAGTAAATCTAATGATTTTCTGGAAAGTTTTGTATACTTTCTATTCAACTTTCATTATGAATTAATTTCAATTGAAAAGTCGTTTGGAACTAAATAGACATATATATGACGGGTTAACTTTGACTGAGGACCCTTTAACTGGTTACTTGGAATAATATGGAACGCAGAGATGCACTAATACAGTTGTCATAATTCAATTCAAGATAACCTTTAGGTTTTATGCTATCAACTCCTTCATAAGTTCTCGGAATAAGTAGATAATTTAGTTTGTACATAAATAGATTTATGTAAAAAATATTCGTTTAAAACTTTACGGGGGATATTAACTTTTCATTTTGTTTTGTAAAATAAGAAGAATTAAGTGTTTTTAACTTAGGTAGAGATTATCATCTCACTAATCATTGAAAGATTGACTTGTATATTAACCGAATATCAAATTTATATGCTTTTCAAGCACCTACATGAAGTGAAATACGTCGTTCTGGTTCAAATAGTTTTGATTACCCTATAGTAACATACAGTTAGTATTAGTTTTATAATTAATTTTAAAACGATATTCTAAACGGTGGATTAGCAATTACTTTAAAGTAATATTTCATTAAAAACTGATAATAATCAAGGTATTTGATCTCATCAACACTTATCGATCACATCATGCTAATTGGTGTCAAAACACTTTCGAACTTTGTAATTATGCATAAATGAGACTATAAAATAATAGTCTTCATTTTATCAAGTAAAATATTTGACATTTGAATACTACGATGAAAAGGATTTAATATTGAACTTTTTCTGAAGTATTACTTTTCTTCTATAAGGTACTTAAAATTAAAACCGATCATAGAGTAGTTTTTTATCAAAATTATATTAACCAAGACTTTGATTATAGCAAAAATTTCTAACATTTTTTGAAATGATAGTATATTTAATAATGTTTTATTGTTTTATTGAATAACCAACTGAAATCGAATAATAATCTTTTGAAAACTAGTATTCAGTCACTGTAAAATATACTTGACGATTATAATGAAATATACTAGGTCTGATTCACAATATGAAAATCAACAATGAGATCCAATTACATCGAATTGATGAGTTGCAAATATGATAAAACGAGCTTTCAGGTTTACAAAGATGATAATAATCCATCTAACTTAAATTAATATTAACTTAGCTACTTGGTTATAAACTTTATATTGATTAAATGAAAATATACATCAGCAAAGAACAAATTGTATAGAATTCGTGTGTTTTCCTTCTACAAATTTATTCTAAAAATTAGTATTTTTTTATATTATTCCATCAAAAAAACAAATCACAGTTTTTTTCCGAAAAAGATTTTTTTTTCTTTTTTTTGGTTGAAAGTTTGCTATTTTTTCTATTAAAAAAATTTTCGAATAAATGTCAAAATATTTTTGTATATTCAACAAACGTTATTTCCCCCCCCCAAAAAAATGTGAGTCAGTTAACTTTTATTTCAAATGTATTAAGGAAGAGAAATAGAGAAGTGAGCAACAGTACTATTTATCTATATATTTAGCAACTATTCGTATGTTTCCTTCGACAACAAAAAAATATTTTTCATCATAGAAAAAGTGCACAACAATAAGAAAAAAGAAGCAACACAATACAAAGTGATAAAATGAAATGACAAGTGATGTTTTGTTTTAAAAAAAAATAAATAAAATAATAATCATAATAAATTTTGCAAAATCTCTCTTGTTTATTTCATTTTATTTTGCATATGTTTATAAAAGAGATAGAATAAAAAGAAAGTTTGTATTTTGATTGAACATGAAAGTGGATGAATTATAGAATGGAGACTAGGCAGATTATTATTCTTTGTTTCAATATATTTTGTGACTAACAGAATATATATATATATATATATATATATATATATATATATATATATATATATATATATATATATATATATATATATATATATATATATACATATATTAAAATATGTTTTAGCTGACATTGTTGACTAAGAGAAAAACAAACACTACACATACTGACATTCCGTTTATCAAACCGCTCATCCTCTGACTAGTCTCTACTTTTGCTTCTAAAGAGAAGACTATATATATAATGAGACACTGAATAGATAACTTAAGGGTAAAGCTTAGAAAAAATACTGACGACAATAGCATGAAAGTCTTTCTCATTGTACATTGGTTATTTGAATTTTTTTTCCAAAATTGAAATCATAATTTTACTTTCGTGTATGAATTTATAGTAGTACAGATATTAGAAAAACAACTGGAAAGTGTTTTTTTTTAAACTGAAAGTTGCATAGTATTTGTACTAATGTTTCATTTTAAAGCTTAATATTCTTTTCGACAAAAAAAGAAAAAAACTACGTCAGAAATTATTTAGTCTGTGATACAGGAGGGGGAAAATATTATTTTGCTTGCATTTGTTATCTATTTCAAACAGTTTTTCGTATTTAAAGTAAATAAATTTACCTACAGTGTGATATATATACAGTCAACATCAAACCCTGGAGTAAGTGATGAGTTGGCATGCAGAATATATGATAACTGGTCACAATTTAACAATTTTGTTGGCCGAATAATCTACTGTGAGTGGACACTTTACTCTCATTAATTTTTACTCAATAGCTAATCAACACATAAGTAAGATTTCAATGACATTATTGATTAACTGTCTTTATTCTTGCTCAATATTCTCTTTACAACATTATAGTTTTAAGTTAGGGATAAAATGTTAACATGTTTAATTTCTAACATGGTTTTGAATATGTTAGAAGAACCACTAAAAATCAAGGGGGCTCTAAATAGATTATAAATTTTCCCAGAATTACATATTCATGACTTTGTAAGGAATCAAATCAGTAGACTCGGATATCAGCCACGAGTATTATATCACTCAAATATTATATTCTTATTTTACAGATTTATTTGACTTGTAACAGAGTACCGACGTTATTAATGAGTTATTATATTACTATCATCTTGATTCGTTTCACTAGTAATAACTAAATAAATTAAAAAAAGATCATTTTTATCTATTTAAGTTTCAAAGTTTATTATAACAAGATTTAATTTGTGATGAAAAGTATTTTCAACAAAATATCTTAATTATCTTATATAATGATATAAATAGTTGAATTCTGTATATCTACTCCACAGAAAACTTTGATTTACCGTTGTCGTTGTTTGTTTTTTAAAGGTTTTCTTTACAAATATATGTAGCATATCATTTTGTTCATATTCGTCATGAAGGAAAAAAAACACATTCCTCAGTCAATATGTGTACGTGTGTTTGTGTTTGTAATCGTTATGGAAAAACAAACTGAATATTTCATTATACTAATTAGATTATAAAATATTTCAATAGATCATTTTCGTTAGTCATGCAAAACTTCCTGTAAAAGTAAAAACAAAACATAGAAAGGAACTTGAAAATAGAAGTATAAGAATTAAATTTGAAAAGAAAAAGTAAAAAACACAACTGGAAAAGAATAAATCCTGTCTAAACACATACATACATACATACATATACATAGAATAGATGAGAGAAATCTATTTGTGCATGTCTATGTGTAATTGAAAGACCTTTCATTACACATGCACCTGAATACTTAGTCTCTATTATCATTTAAATAAGTAGATAATTCCATTTTGTTTTATTAAATTCAAATAAATCTTCATTATCCTAATTGGGTCCGTAGTTCTTTATTTTTTCGGGTGA